GTGTGAATGTGCTTATTTTTTATAAAATAGAAATATATATATATATATATATATATATATATATATATATATATATATATAATTGTTGATTCTTGGTGATTTTATTGTTCATGTATGCTGCACAGGGGACCCATTAGCCAAAGAATGTATTACTCTGCTAAATGCATTAGATCTAGAACAATATGTGAATGTTACTTGATCTTGTGCTGACATATGGCTTTTCTCTGTACGATCTTGAGGTATCTGACAATGGGTGTTCTGACCATAAATCTGTCATGTTTTCTGTTCCCTGGGTTTCTAATACTCATAAAGTCACTAAACTTACTCGTCAATCTAGATTAATCACCTCTACTACTAGCAAAGCCTTTTCATTCGCTTTTTGTGACGCTATTAAATCAGTAGATTTCAGTCAATGTGACTTGAGTGCAGTGGAGTTCCTTTTCAGGCTTAACTCCACATGTGTGGATGTCTTAGATTCAGTTGCTCCTGTAAAATCCTCAAAACTTAAACCTAGATCTGAGCCCTGGATTGATGACAACATACGCTCTCTGAGGCAGATCTGTAGGAGAGCGGCGCGTAAGTGGAAAAAGGATCGGCTCCAAATTTCTTTTGAAATTTTAAGAGATTCATTATTCAAATTTCAGAAGGCAGTCAGAGCAGCGAAATCCAGGTATTCAAACATGCTACAGTCTATCCCTTGCTTAAGAGGCCGAACCTAGATCCTTCTTTTTTAGCCAATTATAGACCCATTTCAAATCTGTCTTTTATTACAAAGATATTAGAAAAAGTAGTCCTGCAACAGCTACAACATTTTTTTAGATGAAAATAAGATCTTTGAGGTCTTTCAATCAGGTTTTAGAAAACACCACTCGACTGAGACTGTACTTCTGAAAGTTTTAAATGGTATTATATTAACTGGTGACGCTGGGGATCATGCTGTGCTTGTGCTCCTGGACTTGAGCGCTGCTTTTGACACTGTGGACCACGCTATCCTGCTTGCTCGCTTGGAGCACTGTGTAGGCATAAAAGGAAGTGCTCTTGAATGGTTTAAATCTTATTTCTCCAATCAAAGTTTTAGAGTTAACATTGGTGAACGCTTTTCTGAGGTAGCTTCTTTGTCATGTGGTGTTCCCCAGGGATCCATTTTGGCGCCTATTCTTTTTTCGTTGTACATGCTCCCATTGGGTTCTATTTTTAGGAAACATGGTCAGTCTTTCCATTGCTATGCAGATGACACTCAAATCTATCTGCCCTTAAAACAGAGTTCAAATGGTCTGGAAGCACTTATGTCTTGCCTGTCTGATGTGAAAGCCTGGTTGTCTTTACATTTTCTTAATTTCAATGAGACTAAAACTGAAATAATTGTGTTTGGTACGTCGGATTCTCGTAGTACACCATAAGTAAATCTTGGCGATTTAATCTCTTCCGTGAAGCCTTGGGTAAAAAGTCTGGGTGTTATTTTTGATGATGGTTTAAAATTTGATAAACAGATAAATACGGTGGTCAAGTCCTGCTTTTTTCAGTTTCGACTTCTAGCAAAAGTAAAACCTATTTTGTCTAGTAAAAATTTTGAAAAAGTAATTCATGCTTTTATTACATCTAGATTAGACTACTGCAACTCGCTGTATTTTGGGATTGGTCAGTCAGCCCTATCCCGCTTGCAGAAAGTTCAAAATGCAGCTGCAAGTCTTTTAACGAGTACCAAAAAACGGGATCATATTACACCAGTTTTACGTTCTCTGCACTGGTTGCCTATGTGCTATCGAGTTCATTTTAAAATTCTTCTCTTAGTGTTTAAATCATTAAATGGTTTGGCCCCTGCTTATTTATCTGATTTATTGACTGAACATCGGCCCCTCTTGTCTCTCCGGTCGTCCAACCAGAGATTATTATGCATCCCAAAGTCGAAGCTTAAATGCAGGGGTGACCACGCTTTCTCAGTTGCTGCCCCTAAATTGTGGAATGCTCTGCCCCACTGTATTAGATCTGCACCTTCAATATCTGTTTTTAAATCCATGTTAAAAACCTACTTTTTTGACTTGGCGTTTTATCAATGAGACCTTTTCTACTGTACTGTTTCTTTTAGTAATTATTTTATATAGTCTTATTGAAATGTTTTTACTGTGCAGCAGTAAACACACACGCACACAGTATATATTCTGTATTTAGTCTTTTCAGTTTCTTTGTCATTCCAGACTGATGATGGAGAAATCAGATCTCTGTGTGGAGCGCTGGCTGTTGTCAGACTCATTGTGCATACAAAAATCTCACTGGATTATTACAATTAATGGCAAA